CATTTCAAATCTTAACAAGTTTAGTGTTTTTTCTGTGGACTTCGGATTGAGAGATTGTTACACTGAACTTCAACCTCACTTTGTTTACACTTGTGGTTGGATAAAAAAGTTCTCACCTCTGTATCTTCCTGTAGGACAGAAGACTGAGTGCCCTGAACATCTGGAACCCCTGTGGTTTCCGTGGTAACATCAGGAGATGGAGAACAGGGAAGGTCATTTACATCTCCCACTTCATCTACGGTCACAAAGTCACTGAGGTTGAAGGGAAACATGGCCTCCTCCTCCTCCTCCTCCTTTTCTTGCTCCTGCTTCTTGTCCTCCCTGTGACCGACCTTAATATGTGACAGAAAAACCTCAGTTTGACGCCAGAAGAGAATTTGATTTTCACAGCTGAGCTTTCATTTTGAACTTTTAACTCACCACTTTTCTCTCTGAGCTGTGGCGACGGTAACCAGACTTTCCCTCTGACCTGTAGGACCTGGATCCTGTGGAACCTTCCACATGTGGTCTCTTGTACTCCCTTCTCTCTCTCTCCTTCCTGCCCTCCATCCTTCTCTCCTGGATCCTTCTCTCGCCCATCCTCCTCTCCCTCTCTCTGTGTCCTCTTTCCTCTGTCAAACTCCTCTCCCTGTCCTTTTCGTCTTTTGCTCTCAACTCCTTGATCTTCCTCTCGTCTCTGGGCTTCTTCTCCTCGTTCACGTCCTGCTTTTCTGTGGACTTTTTCTTCAACTCCGTCTCTGTTGACCTTTGTTTCGGTTTTGTCTCAGTTTGGACCTTGTCCTCTTTTTGCTCGCATGTTGTCATGTTTTTGTTGAATACAATCTCTGATGATAAGTTCTTCACTGCTTCCTCAGGAACCTGGAGAACAATTTAAACAGATGTTTAAAGAAAAAATACATCTTAAAAAAAGGAAACAAAACACAACAGACTTTCTTCTACCTCAGGAAGTTCAGACGTGTCCTTTACCTGAGTATCGTTCTTCACCTCAGACGGGTCCTTGACCTCTGACATGACCTTCAATTCAGAAGTGTTCTTCACGTCAGCCGTGAGCTTCACTGCACAAACGTTCTTCACCTCAGAAACATTCTCTGCTTCAGAAGCGCTCTTCGCCTCAGATAGTTTCTTTGCTTCAGAAGTGTTCTTCGCCTGAGGAACGTTCTTCGCCTCAGAAGCGTTCTTCGCCTCAGAAGTGTTCTTCGCCTCAGAAGCGTTCTTCGCCTGAGGAACATTATTCGCTTGAGAAACATTCTTCGCCTGAGAAACATTTGTCTCAGAAACGTTCTTCGCCTCAGAAACGTTCTTCGCTTCAGGAGCGTCCTTCGCCTCAGGAGCGTCCTTCACCTCGGACGTGACCTTCACCTCTGAAGCGTCCTTCACCTCAGATGTGTCCTTCACCTCTGAAGCGTCCTCCACCTCAGACGTGTCCTTCACCTCGGATGCCTCTTCTCTTGTGTCACACTTTCCAACATTTTCTGGCGTTGTGAGGGTACTTGCTTGTGCCTGGTCCATGCCCGTGTCACTCTCTTCTTCTACTACGACGAAAGCTTCAGAGTCATTGACCAGATCATCTTTTCTAGACGTTTCTTCTGACCGTTGTTCTCCTGCAGTTATCTTCTTCTCAGTTCCATTAGAATCATGTTCAGTTACCTCTGTAGGACACTGTGGTTCCTCGTGAGGTTGGTTTGGTTGTTCTTCAGTCACTGCTGCTGCTGACTGGCTGGATTTATCCTGTGAGCAAACACACGCACACACACACAGTCACAGTCAGATATATACATATAAATAGCAACACAATGGCAAAACTATAACAAACGCCACAGACCTGAGTGAGGGCTGTGGTAGAAGTCGGAGGCTTAGGATCAGGTTTCCTGGAAAAGAACAGAGGGTTCTTCTGGATGGTCACTGGAAACGACTGGAAGCGCTTGTAAACAGACAAAGCCATGGCGTTGGTTGCCATTTCACATATGACCTGCAGGGGGAGTCAGAGTGTAAATAAACTGGTTTCGTACAGAAAGACAGAGAGGACTGAATAAATGAAACACAGCAGAACCACAACAGATGTTTACTGTTTTTGTGTCTTACCATGTTGTTGACCATCAAGGTATTAATGACTGTACCAAAGCGCTGGACCAGCTTCTGGACATCAGAGGAACAAGAGGGCGGGACATTCGTGATGACTAAGAGGCTGTTCCAGGGGACTAGATCGGTACCATTCTGAGGAGACATAAGAACCAGTGAGTACACGTTTGACTTTTGACTCATGTCAACATTTTCTCCTGTATTTTAGGATCAACTCAGCTTCTTTTTCCACAGTCAGGTGACAATAAGAAACTTACCCAAAGGTTCTGCCCTTTCATCAGCAAGTTGTAGAGCGCCACCTGTGTCAAAATACACAATTGAATTAATATTTCATTAAACTGATATTTAAAAAAAAGATAATTTGGAGTCGACCACAGGAAGGCAGCAGAGGACAGAAACACTCACAGGTGTTTGAAGGCTGATGTTCTGTTTGATCTGGACCGTCTGCAGCTCAGACGTTTGGAACTTCGCAGGCAGGAAACTGTGAACTTTGACTATTTCAGCAGCCGTTTCAACGTCTGGCATGAAGACCAGAACCTGACAGGAAACAACAAAAACCTTAAGTATCAACTCCTTTCAGAAGAAGGCAACTGGATGAGTTTGCTTTCTTGAAGACATCAAATCCTAGATGATTCTTCAACCATTGGAACCAAGCTAGTGCAGGTTCTTCTTCTGAACCTCTAAAACAACAACAAATAACAACTTAACTGCTCTGAGCATTTCCTGTTGTTACGTGTGTAAAAATTCCAAGTAATCTGTATTAGTTTCCACAACCTTTCCAATGTGTGGAGCCATGATGATGTCAAAGGGTATTCCGAAGGGCTGCATGATCTCAAGGATGTCACTCTCTGACCAGCCCCTCTCAGGAAGTCCAGAGAGCAGGACTAGTCCTTTCTGCAGTAGACAAAGGGTTCAAACATTTAAATGTGGAATGAAGTGGATTCGGACTCTTCTGAAACAGATGTGAATGCGGTTCTGTGTTTGGACCAATCACCTTCTCTGAATTCTTCTGCTCAGCTTCAGGCCCTGCAGACAAACCCAAACCAAGAATCCACCAATTATTGACCAGCAGATAAAAGAACATCTGTGCTGCTTGTGCTCCTCTTACCTCCAACCTGTCCGACAGCAGCAGCTTCTTCTTCATCCGCGTCTACTTTTCTGTCAAGAAAAAACACAGAAATCAAAGTTCAGGAAAAGGACGTCTGTGGTTTGGTGGTAAGTTAGCAGGCAAGTCAACTGGAGGTGACCTTCACCCCTGACCCAAGAACCCTCTACAGGTCTCCTAACAGACTTTGTAGAAGCCTCTTGGACTCTGTGTGAGTTTAAAATCATCTGCTGCTGGACAGACCTGCCACTGGCCTCAGGAGACTCAGATTCTTCCTCAGGTTTCTGCCAGGAAAAAAGACCAAACATTTACTATGGCGTTCTGACTAGAGAAGAGGATGTCATCGATGTTCAGGATAGTACCACGGCTGCAGAAGCAAAGATTTTCTGCTCTCTGATGGACAAGGTGGTGGACTTGGCCAGTGCCTCCGCATTTTCTGATTTCATCATGCAAACTGACGCCTGTGACGGTAAAAACAACAAACAAAGAAAGACGTTCAGACGAAAACACAAACATATATGTGTTTCAAGTGTAAACAGAGGATTACTTTCTGTCCTCCATTCTTCACGCCATCCTCCCCCTCAGAACAAGGCAGCAGGATCACATTGTTGATCTTTCCAAAGGACCCGACCAAGTTTGTCACTTCCTGTTCAGAGGCATCATTAGGAATTCCTGTCAGGTAAACAAGACAATCTACTCCGGGTGAACTCTGTGACGTCACAGTGGGCGGTTTCTTCTTCTTCTTCAAAGACAGAGGTGGGTTTAAAGAAAAGAAAATAAAAGAAGAAAATCCCATTAGTTTGATTAAAACAAAGTGTTTTCCCAGTCCTTCTACTACGCTTAGTGATCCTGACCCTCTGCCGTGTGGTCATGCTCACTGTCCCTAGCTTGGTTAAAAAGAATTCCCATTTTTATAACAATAATATAAAATGTTTTCTTAATTATTATTATTTTATATTATCAATATATTTATTTATATCTGTTATGTTATGTTTTTGATGTTAAGATTTAATTGGTTTTTAGTTATTTTTTATGCAATCGAGATACGAGTGAATCGACATACAAGTGCTGTTGTGAAACGAATTATTAGTATCTTGAAGCCCCACTGTATAAATCGCTCAGGAGTATAAGTCGCAGCACTGCCCTCTAGCGGCCGTCAGTGTGAAATTAACGAACGTACATTTTCAGTGGTACAGGAGTAGCAGATACTGGTACACAAGCCTAGAGTGCCCTTATAGTCCGGAAAATACGGTAATAACTGAACCTGGTTTATCAGTCACACAAAACTTCATTTATTATTTTCTTTCGATTTTTTTGAGTTAAGAGAAAATTCAAGCACCTACCGTGTTGACAGTTTTACTAATCTTGGCACCAGATCTGCTGCGTGGGGAGATCTTAGATGGATGAGGGCTAGAATCACTGGTGGTGCTGTGTGAGCGCTTCAAATCTGATCTACTGGCACCACCTGAAGACAAGTAAAAAAATAAGACGTAAGTTCTAAAACAGGCGAGATCTGGAATAACAGCAAAACCACAGGACACTAATGCTAATGCTAATCTTTCTACAGAAGTTAATAGCCCTTTGTGTTCATCTTAGTTTCTACTGTATATTGTAACTTCTTCTGTGGCTGCACTGTCTGCATGATCAGAGTCATCACTGGTATACACTGGAGTCAGACTTCTGACCTGACGACGTTCCATGTTCTCTGTAGAACCTGCTGTGTCCATGTGACACTGAAGGACTGTGGGAACCAAATCGATGGCTCGGTGGTCGAGGGCCGTGTTCTGGGTAAAGGAAAGGATGATAGGCATTCAGGAGAGAAGCAGTGTGGCCAGAAAAGATATTAAATGAGTCTTTATTATTGACTTCTGTCAATCAGAGATATTAGGCTTGGGTACCAGATCCAGATTTAGGTTTTACCTGAGTGGTGGTGACCACGAGGGAATCTGGAAGGTGAGTATGGTCTTCTATGTGGGTCATGGGTTTGGGGGCCCCGGGGCCGGTGTTTGATGTGAGGACTATGGCTGTGAGGGCGAGATGGAGAAGAATCCCTGGGGTCCTGCTGAGACTGGCTTCCATAATGACCACGCCTGAAAACAGAAGAGAAAACGTAATTAAAATACAACAGTTACATTCAAATTGAAGCATGTTTATAAAGAAGATCCTATAAAAAAACATGTTTCTACAGTAGATCAGAGTAAAAAGCAGTGAGTCAGTGACGGGTTCCACACAGTTCTACTGACCTCAGTGTTGAATCTGGTCTCCAGGCAGGAAACCTTTGGAGACAAAAACACAGCACGCTATGAGTTATCACATAATCGGGAGGTGTGGAGAGGTCAAAGGTCGGAGACTGAGCCACAGAGCGATGCTGAGGGTAGACCAATAAAAACATCTGCTCACTTGTTTCGCAGGTCTCTGCAGGCAGCAGTGTGGTTAACGGTGTTGATGTGATTGGCCCAGTCCTGAACAAACACATCCACACCACACATACACACACACAAACACAAACAGGGAAAAAGCAAAGAACAGTCAGAAAACTAACAGGACAGCGGATAAACTGATCTTTCTCAAACAGTGAGTCCCAGTGAACAGTGACTGTTCTTGTCCTGAAGGGGAAAATGAAACATTCCTGGTTTGTCTCAAACAGGATCTGGAGGTAAAAACCTCAAACACATCCTGGAGAAAAACCACCTCCACTTAAAATAAAATTATTTTTGTTCCAGCTGCGAAGTGTGTGTGTGTGTGTGTGTGTAGTGAAAGAATCAGACCCGAGGTCAGTTTATACTGAAGTGTAGGTATTTGTTGGGTTATTGATACAGGAGCGAAGAAAAAAAACACCGTGTTTGCTTGGAGAAGAGGTGAAACCTCTAATTCTTCCCATCAGAACTTTCCAAGGAGTTAAAAAAAACTCTAGTCAATCTTATTAACTAAACTAATTCCTGTGAATAAAGACTTTTGAGATGTACTCTTTAAAGTTATATGAAACCTGACAATCAATCAGACTGTTTTCAGATTTCAAATTGTTGTCTGAGATGATATACTGGAGAGGTAACACTAATACTGATCCAGAAATTCTTCAATGAAAACAATCCCAAAAATTCCCCTAATTAATAGTAAGAAAAACTCCATGATCTCCTCCACTCCAGTCCAGCAATCATCTCAACTCAAATACCTTCAAGACCTTTATATGTTTCATTTTTACAATCAGGAAACTGCACATAACACACTGATCCAAAACGTTATCTTCAAGCCTAATTTGTGCAACAGGAATGTACCCAAGTCCTAGAAAAGTTCCTTGTTCCCGGTGTAGGGTCATCAAACTCTTATGATTATAACATTGAGGCAAGATCACTTTAGTTTTGTTGAAGTTGGTATTAGGACTAAGCTAACTTGAGCTTGCTTTTTAGATCGGTGTTTTTATGTTACCATTATTATTAGAATGCAATACAACAATTTTTAAAGATCAGAAAAGTCCAGACCAGAGGTGCCGGACCGAGTGTTGGATTTAAAACATCATTATTTATTAAAAGGCTCAAACCCATCAGAAATCCTGAACTAAAGATTGTTTCCACAGGGACTTGGCTTTTAGGTCTCTTAGGAGACGGTAGGAACGTGATAAGGGAACCTGGGAAAACACTCACCTTCTCCTGATCACACTGAACGTTGCACAGCGAGCAGGTGTGAGGAAACACCTTTGGGGTAGCAGCTGAGAAATCACTGATCATGTTGGGGTTAGGAAACTTTTGTCCAATGTTGTGTCCTGGTTTTGAGGCGGGAGACTGTCTTGAGGAATCCTCACTCCTGGTTTCAGACGTTGGTCTGGATTTCGGACGGTCATGCCTGTAATCCCGGTCCAGACGGCGGGATTTGGTTGGCGGTGGTATTTCTCTCCAAGGTGCTGGATTGTTCTTTTGGTGGTCTTTATTTGCCCTGCGGTAATCACAGTCCCCGTGTTTACTCGGTTCACTAGCATCCAAATGATCGACACGTTTTTTAGGTTTTTCTGATTTTGGAGGTGTTGATGACACTTGGTACATTTTTACCGTCCTCTCGGTGGAGAGC